TCCTCTGAGGTTCTGGACATGAAATCTTCTCTTGATCATTGACAAGGAAACATGTCCGCCTACAATCCGGAGAGGTGTGGTTGTAAAGTAACAATGCCTGGGCAGTATTTTAGACTCTGGAGTTAAAATTTTTACTCACATATATAAGAAGGTGATGAAGAAAACAGCTTTTTTTAGTTAATAAAAATGTTGCCAAGGTATGCTGGTTGATGTTGGAGCAACCTGATGCAGAAATTAAAAGGTTTTCAAATGCTTTATACATGTTAGTAAGTTTTTAGGGAAGTGATGTGATTATTGCACGTTGACACTGTCGGGAACAGTTTCTCATTTTGTTACCACATTGTGTGTAAACAAATGTACAGAACAACTACGGCGGGTTCAATGTGGCAGGAAATCAACCTGCCCCTTTAGTTTTAAGCCCTTAACAGTAATAGATCATGACATATAATGCACAAAGCCATAGTTTTTAATGATAGTTATTTATTCATTTAAAATTAATATAAATTATATTTTACAAAACTGAATTTGCTTGTTTGTCTGTTTAGATCTCGTATGCTCAGACCTGCGCAGACAAAACTTCGTTTCAGAAACATACCCTGACATGTTCAGATTTGGCTCATGTTCTGTTGACACTGCCATAACATGCCAGGATTCCAGTTATACCAACACAATTTGAACCCACATGGTGTGGCTTGCCTCATCTGTAAGCTTTTCTTAATACTGCTGAATTTCCCCCTGAAAACAGAGTTATGCCTTCGGATTCACCACCACCCGCTGATTTGTTTGATTCTTCTTCACCTGGTGGTTTCGAAATTCTCTCTGATGTGAAATCTAGCCAAGTGTGAGCATCACAGGTTTGTCTTTCTGTGTGGTTGTTTACAAATGTCATTATGTCACAAAGATTGAAATCAGCATCTCCACTCTCTCTGAGGAGCAGCCCAGACGACTCTTGTTTTAAACCTGAGAAAACACTCCCTGAGGTTATTTGACTCTTGACCGGTAAATCTCTGGCACATTAAGGCACATTTTGGTTATAGTTGGTTGTTGGTTGTATTTATGGTTTGCATATATTTTTTAATATATAATTAATATAATAATTCTAGTTTTAGTTTATTTTTTACAC